GGATACCATATTGAGACTATGTGTAAAGATGGCATTGAATTTCTTTGCATTAAGTCCGAGGGGAAACATATATTAGAAGAGTTAAAAATGTTATCCTCTGGACTATATTGTACAGAAATACACATGACTGAGTCCTATGCCGTGGTAAACATGAAGTTTACTGATACATTTAAAATCTGGCATGAGAGGCTAGGACATCTTGGTTCAGTCATGATGAGAAAAATAGTGCAAAATTCAAATGGCCATCCGTTGAAAGGCGGAAGAATTTTGCAAACGGGCGAATTTACATGTAAAGCATGTTCTCAAGGAAAACTTATAACTCGGCCATCACCAGCAAAAATAGGCAATGAATCACCAATGTTTTTAGAAAGAATAAATGGTGATATATGTGGGCCGATCCACCCACCGTGCGGGCCGTTTAAGTATTTCATGGTATTGATTGACGCATCTAGTAGATGGTCAAATGTGTCTCTTATGACGACACGAAATACGGCTTTCGCAAAGTTCATTGCCCAAATAATAAGGCAGAGAACACAGTTCTCGGGATATGCCATTAAGAAAGTAAGGCTTGATAATGCTGGTGAATTTACATCGCAAGCCTTTGATGATTATTGTATGTCAGTGGGGATTGATGTGGAGCATCCAGTTCCCCATGTACATACACAAAATGGCATGGCCGAGTCATTAATAAAACGGTTGCAGTTGATTGCAAGACCGTTGATCTTGAGGACAAGGCTCCCAATTTCAGTATGGGGTCATGCTATTTTGCATGCGGATGCACTAATTCGGTTAAGACCGAGTGCATATCATAAGTACTCCCCATTACAATTGGCGTCTGGGCATGAGCCAGATGTATCCCATCTCTGTGTCTTTGGGTGTGCGGTCTATGTACCGATAGCTCCGCCACAAAGGACAAAAATGGGCCCACAGAGGAGATTGGGAGTATATGTGGGTTATGTGTCACCGAGTATAATAAGATATCTGGAACCAGTAACTGGTGATATGTTTACGGCACGATTTGCCGATTGTCACTTTAATGAAGAAGAATTTCCAGCGTTAGGGGGAGGAATTAGAGAAATTCCTAAAGAGATTACTTGGTGTACACCATCATTGTTATACCTTGATCCCCCTACAAATCAAAGAGAGCTGGAAGTTCAGAAAATTGTGCTTTTGCATAATTTGGCAAACCAGTTACCAGATGCGTTCACAGATACGAGAAGGGTGACAAAATCATATATACCCGCTGAAAATGTCCCATCAAGAGTTGTTGTTCCTAAAGAACATAGTGATGGAGATACAATGAATGAGCCTAGGGCTCAGTTAAAGAGGGGGAGACCTGTGGGTTCTAAAGATAAAAATCCCCGAAAGAAAAAGAAATTGGTTGAGCAAAAAGGAAAGGTTCTAGAAGAACCTGATACTGAAAGATGTCTGAAAGAAGGCATAGATGAAAAGGTTCAAGAAGAACCAAATAAAGATAAGGATCCANCTAAAGATAAAAATCCCCGAAAGAAAAAGAAATTGGTTGAGCAAAAAGGAAAGGTTCTAGAAGAACCTGATACTGAAAGATGTCTGAAAGAAGGCATAGATGAAAAGGTTCAAGAAGAACCAAATAAAGATAAGGATCCAGATGACGAGGAGGGAACAGAAAAGTATGAGATTTCCATCAACTACGCCCAAGATGAAAAGTTATGGATCAGAAATAAGATAAAAGATGTTGATGGAATGTTCTTCTTTTCTGTGTCCAGAGAAATAGATCACGAAAGTGATGATCCTGATCCAAGGTCCATTTTAGAATGTATGAAAAGACATGATTGGGAGGAATGGAAGAAGGCCATTGAAATTGAATTACTCTCCCTAAATAAAAGAAATGTCTTTGGACCTATAGTCATAACGCCTGAGAATATAAATCCTGTTGGGTATAAGTGGGTATTCGTGAGAAAAGTAAATGAAAGGAATGAAGTAACACGATATAAAGCCCGATTAGTAGCCCAAGGTTTTTCTCAGAGACCGGGAATTGATTTTGAGGAAACATATTCCCCGGTGATGGATGCAATAATGTTTAGATTTTTGATGAGCCTTACGGCGTCAACGAATCTTGAAATGCATCTTATGGACGTTGTGACTGCATACTTGTATGGATCATTGGATAATGATATATACATGAAACTCCCTGAAGGATTGAAAATGCTAGAAGCATTGAAAGAGAAACCCAGGGAGACTTGTTCAGTCAAGTTACAGCGATCACTTTACGGATTAAAGCAGTCCGGTCGCATGTGGTACAATCGCTTAAGTGAACATCTCTTGAGAAAAGGATATGTGAATAATGCGATATGTCCATGCATTTTTATAAAGAAATCGTCATCTGGCTTTGTGATCATTGCTGTATATGTTGATGACCTGAACATTATTGGAACTCAAAAGGAGGTTGATGATGCACGAACTCATATGAAAGAAGAGTTCGAAATGAAAGATCTCGGAAAGACAAAGTTTTGTCTTGGGCTCCAGATTGAGCATCTCCGAGAAGGTATATTTGTGCATCAATCAAATTATACGAAAATGTTACTGAAACGCTTTCGTATGGACAAAGCAACTCCTTTGAGTACTCCAATGGTTGGTAGGACTCTCGATGTTGAGAGAGATCCTTTTAGACCCTGTGAAGATAGCGAAAAGATGTTAGGTCCAGAAGTACCTTACATGAGTGCTATCGGTGGGTTGTTAATCTAGCGAATTGTACCAGACCTGATATTGCCTTTGCCACTAATCTTCTTGCAAGATATAGTTCGGCTCCTACTCATAGACATTGGAACAGAATAAAACATATATTTCGTTACCTCCAAGGTACAGTTGATTTAGGGTTAATGTATTTTAGAAAACCCGAGTTTGGTATGGTTGGTTTTGCAGATGCAGGATACTTATCAGATCCTCATAAGGCTCGTTCGCAAACCGGCTATGTTTTCACAATTGGTGGGACAGCGATCTCTTGGCGTTCACAGAAGCAAACTCTGGTTGCAACATCTTCGAATTATGCAGAAACCATTGCACTTCACGAAGCCTGTCGAGAATGTGTGTGGCTTAGATCAATGAGTTACCACATACAAGAAGCAAGTGGAATAATTGGTAAGAAAGAGCCGACGAAAATGTTCGAAGACAATTCGGTATGTGTTGCTCAACTTAAAGAAGGTTATATCAAGAGCGACAGAACAAAGCACATGCCTCCAAGATTTTTCTCGTATATACGACAGCTCGAGAAAAATAAAGAAGTGGACATCGAGTATGTACGGTCATGCGACAATCCGGCTGACTTGTTTACAAAGGCCCTTCCTACTACAACATTCCGAAAACACATCTATGGTATCGGAATGCGACATTTGCGTGACTTATGAAGAAATAGCTATGTCCATTATGTTCAGGGGGAGATTACGTTAGTGTACTCTTTTTTCTTTTTCATGGTTTTTTGCCCAACGGGTTTTTCCATGACTAAGGTTTTAACGAGGCACTACGTAATCCAAAATGAATAATCAAGGGGGAGTGTTATAAATGGTGATTAATCATCAAGTGGACAGATGTCTATAAATCATCTATCATCATTATCAACAGATGTCCTCATTTCCCTTTTAGTCATCACTCACCAATATACATCTGTCTCTCTTTTGTTCATTGACAAGATGACTAATACATCTCTCTTGTACTATAAATAGTACGTGAGTAAAGATGAATAAGGAGAACAATTTTACTATCTCATCTCTTTCTCTTGTTTTCATATACAAATATAAAAGTGTTTAGTTTATGTCTTTCTAGTTATTTATTTATAACACTGTATAATTAGTTATATAAGTCAATATTATTGTAAAAAAGTATTGTGTAAAACTAATTTTTGTAAGGCTGCGTGATCAGGATTCTCTAGCCTCACCATAAGACAAGTGTGTGTCTAACTGTCTCCCTTTTTAATACCTCTTCTCGTGTGAGTTTTACTTATCCACAATATTAAAATATCGTTTAGCATGCAAAAACTAAAGAAACAAGCATCGAAGGTTCGCAAAGAATTTCTCTTAATAATTATTCCTCTCCGTTGCTTAAGAGTTGTGAGATTAAAAGAAAGGCAGAGGAAGGAGAATACTGAAGCAACAGTTAATAGCAGTATGAAGGCATGAACAAACAAAAATCCAAGCAAAAAATGCAATCTCACTCAATCAGCCATCAATAGTGGTTAAAACAATCCAAAACCTCGTCTTCTACACACATCTTCCTATTGTCTCCATCCTTTATTTTATTATTGTTCCTAAAATTATCTATATAAACCCTAATGTAACCACTATTTTCACTACTCTGTCATCAAACCAAATTTTATTCATCATTTAGTTTCTTCAAACCTTTCCTAAACACCACCCAAGAGCTATGGAAAAACCAAATCAATCAGTAAGCCCACTCCGAAGGTAAACGAGTCTCGTTCACAGGCTGCTCCATCTTCACCTGGCTCGAGAATCCCTCATTGTTGCTCCTCTGTTTCCACGACGCATCTGTTAATGAACCAAAAAAACATTAAATTAAACCCAAAAACATTTTAAGAAAAAACCGAAAACTAACCAAAAACTAAGCAATGTTTGCAATCTTTAGAAGCCAAACATTCGGAAAACAAGAAAAAACGTTGAAAGCCAAAAAAAAATCTGGCAGTTAGGATTTGAAATCTTCAGAACTTACTGGTCTTCTTGCGAGTCTCGACGGTTGCCGGGGTAACGAGACGGGGCAAAAATACGCCGGTTCCCGTTGATCCACGTTTTCCGAGGAAATCAGCGCGCATCCCCGAACCATCGAGTATCTGCGGCCGATTGGACCATGCAGACGGCGACAATTCCACAGAGCCATCAATTTCGTTGTGATTAACACCCAATCCTTTGCTATGCTGCACCAAATGGCGATGGTGTTTGATCAACTGTTGCTGCTTTAGCTGCTGAAACTGAATCAAGAAGACAAACAATCAGCATCAGTATTATCCAAATACTAAGAGAAATCGACGTTAGAGAGTTGCGATTGATTACTTGGATAGCCTGTAGCTTCTGGTATTGGAGAGATTGGCGACTGTAGTAGCCAGAACCGTCGTTAGGGATTTTAGCTGCGGTGAGGGGATGTTTTTTAGGAAGATGGAGAAGTCGTCTATCACTATGGTTACTGTAACCGTTGATATTCATCATCGCTAACTCCTCCACCGCCGCCGCGGCACAGTACATATCATGATTTTGGCGGTTTAGATTCCGGCGATCACATCGAGTCGACTGAGGCGAACGAGTCGCATTCCATTTCCACGCCTGGATAAACCATAAGCGACGGTTATAACTTAAAACCTCTCTAAAAAATCTGAAACGAAGGTATACAGAGAGACGATGATGATATGTTTAGTTACCTTGGCGTCGTTTCCGCAAAATCCACCGGAGCAATAATCTTCTAGAGATGCCTGAACCGTTTTCCTGGTGAATCCTCCGGCTAAGAGCTCCTCCTCGTCACCGATTGGTGTAACGTTAGAATCAACTCCACGACTCGGTTCGTACGCGAACAAACACTTGTTGTTCTCCTTCTCAACGAGAAAATCATCGTCATTGAGAAACTCCGACGGAAGCCAGAACGCAGCGTCGCCGATTACGCTAGTAGTAGTAGGTTCCATGCCTCTCTCACGAGTATTGACAAAGTGAGATTAATAAAAGCGGAGGTTACTGCTTCGTTAAGGTTCAATAATGAGTCTGAGAGACTCTGTTTTCAGGAGAGGTATTTGTAGGAGAAGGAAGATTGTTACTAGTGGCGGTGATGGTGGTGGTGGGGGAGAAGTTTCCATTTACACGCGCCTCTTATTTCACGCGCACACGATACAGCGTATAGGGACAGTGAGTGTGGGCCTACTAGTGGGCTACAACGAGGGTTATTGGCAAGTAAGTTAGTGGGACCTACTCTCAGAATATCTGAGGGAGTGGGTTGACTAGCCATGTGATTGATGAGGTAATAAACACCGTAATTCTCTGTGGCACGTGACTTCCTTAAGTTACGAAATTACCCCCTGCAACTTGGGTCCCAGATTCTTTATAGTATGAATTTTATCTCAGTGTATAATAGGCATTCAATGTGAAAGCGCGTATTAACGTTTTTAATCCGAATACAGTTCTTGTACCGATGTATTTTTTTCCATTTAAGGTATCCACACAAGTCGCGTCTCTTCTTTGGGTACGTTGAACATATTCATGATTTAATTGATGATACAAAAACACGTTACAAAAAGAAAGCTGATGTGTTATTAAATGATCAATTATGGACTTACAGTTCGTATACTTAGACAGATCTATCAATTATGGACTTACAGTTCGTATACTAAGGTGCACACTACGACTTACCGTGGAAAGCGCGTTTGTTTAGGTTTGATGGGTACATTCATGTAACGTTACACAAATGACGATTTGCCCATTAAGAAAATATTTCCGTTGGGTTCTATAACGGTGCAGAAGCCAGATGGAACCAAACAGATTGATTTTTTTTCAACCGCCATGCATTATGGTGTGACGTGGTAAATACAGGTGTCATTATTTAATTAGTTCGGTGACATTTCTGTTATGTATCCACTTGGCAGAACAGGGAAACGGGATGTGAGTCTTCGTGTACAAGTTATTCCACCATGTTTGCCACAACTTCTTTTATCAAGTATCATTAATTTTTCAATGATAAAATGTTTGATCTAAAACAAGTTTCGTAAATGATAACAGGCGAGCATTTAAGCGATGAGAGATCAAAAAATTTGTTTTAACACTTGTAATCAAGTATTCTTACAATCTGAGCCAAACTGGCCAGCTATAAGAAAATACCAGTAAGCATCTATAACTAAGGGGGGTGACTGTATGTCATAAATAGCTTTATATTTTTAGCAAAAAGAAATACATTTATTCTCACTTTAGCTAAATTCATGCCAAACAGGATGAAAAGGTTTCACCTATCTTGGGGTGTGACTGTGTGTACTTAATAGAGTAAAATTTTACTCTGGATATGACTTTTACTTGTTTCCAACTTTTTTTTTTATCAATCAAGTGAAAATACAAAAGAAAAGAATAGTGTATTAGTTTCTGTAAATCATCTCTCTATTAAAAAGAGGTGGAAACGAGAATAACACATTTTCTTCACTTTTTTTTCTTTTTTTTTTGTTTCCACCTAGTTAAACTGGTGTCTACCAATCACACTCATTTTTGCAAATAAATGCTTAAACAGAGTAAAAGTGTTTATTTTGTTCTTCTTGTTTTTTTTCGTTCAAATTGAAATTCATTCATGCAAATTACTGATATTCATACAATCACTGGCGGCAAAACGAAATATCCCCAGAACTAAGAGCCTATAGAAAGTGGCAACTAAAACCCACACAGGAGCGACTCAAACCCACACCGGGATGACTTAAGAAAACATAAACATAAGAACACTAGCACCAAAAGAACGGTAAAATCTACACAAGGGCCACATAAAACACTTAGCAGTCTTTAGTACAGAGAAGATGCCACTGATCGGGAGTTACCTACCGATGCTGCCTATAGCCCGCCATCCGGTAGCCTCCACTTCTACACCCACATCACATTTATCGCCGCTGCCTCGCCCTCCAAACGATAAGACCAAGACCCTGAGACTTCATAACTCGACAAGGGGAACCATTGCTCAGTCCATGCGCGTTGGATACATAAATGCTCTACGATCTAATAAAGAATCTCCCCCAAACACCATGAAAATAAAGCCTTGCCAATAAAACCTCACAATGAACACTCACTGGAGAAGAACCCAACGGAGAGCAATCAACCACAAAACCCCTAGTACAAAGACAGCTAAGCCATAACCATCAAAACACAAACTCCCTTGGCCCATAACAATCAAGATTCACGAACTCAAAGTTACTAGTCCTAATATAATGAAAATTACTGAAACCAGAAATGTAAAAGACGACCTTGAGACAACCTGAGACAAACATCACAACACAGTACACCGCTAATGGAGGACCGCAAACAAGAGAAGCTTCAGACAAACATAAACCATATCTCTTCACCGGAGACGGACCCACTCCAAATCAAGAGCAAGAACAACAAGCCCACCAGATCTGAAAGGAGAAGTCTTTCAGCCACGTTCACGAGCTCTCACTGCCGGCAGGGAACTATATCAAGAAAGCTGAAAATCTCGTTGAATCGCCGTTGTCAAACCTAAACACCAACCGTTCACTCACAACCCACCCCGCCTCGCTGAAACTCCAGACAAGAAGTTACTTATCTTCGACGAACAAATCGTGACAAAGACACAACCAACAGCTCCTAGCAATCGACAAAGAAGAAGAAGATAAGTGAAACGGTGCAAATAACAAAGAGGAAGGGAAGAGGAAGGCGCTCCAGGAGACCACGCGCGCCACCGCGGGTCGACGGAGCGCAAATCTGCGCCGGGAAGTTTTATGGTTAGAGAGAGGTTGGGGGTTCTGTTGGTCAGTTGTTATGGTCTTTTTATTTTTGTTCTTCTTGTTATGTGAAGAAAAAAATTGGATTACGTTGGATGTGATGTTTTCTTTTTCTTTCATAATTATTTTACATTATTACTCTCAATTCCTCTATATTAATTACTCCAAGTTACGTTTGTAGTTGCCAATCACAGTCTAAAAAAAAGTGAGAATCATACACATAAGGCAAGAACAACATAGTTGCTTTTTCATCTCTTTCACGGTGAATAATCAACAGCTAATTTCCACGGAAAGCCACAATTCAATTTTAGTGAATCTAGATTTACGACATTTAGGAATATCTATAATTACATGATTATGATTTTTTTTCTAACAAAAGACTTTTTATATAATTTATAAATTATATTTAAAATCTAAACATGAGAATACTTTGAGAAGACTCAGAAATTTTTTTTGGAAGACTTATGGGAAGACTTAGTGGAAAACCTAATTCTTTTAAAAATTAAGCAGGAAATGGTAGACTCTATTGTTAAGTCTTCCATTAAGTCTTCTAGTGCATTATTTGATTTTGAGAAGTCTTTCATAAACCAAAATAAATTATTTAACTAAATCACAAAAAAATGATTAAACTTAAAATCAACTTATAAAGTGTTTAATATACACAAAACGAAACACATATAGATCAAATTTAGTTTTTCTTTTTATAAAAAAAAACAGATTCCACAATCTAACCCTAAAAACATAAACAATACTATAACATAGTTACCAAACCTTCAACCAAAGAATATCATGACTCAATTTACATCCATTCAGCTATGTTGAAAAATATTCAATTTTAGTAAATCTAAATATACATCATTTACAAATGTCTATAATTACATGAGTACGATTTTTTCTAATTAAAATATTTATATTTATCAGTTATGTTCTACTGAATGAGAAGTCTTTCAGATATGTCTTATGAGAAAAATTCCCTAAAACTATTCTCACGCACAGGGTTATAATCGTAAAACTTAATACTGATTTTGTGTTTGGTCATAAGAGGCTAGTTGTAATTTCACTAATCTTGTATGTTACTTTTGCATTTAATTGAATTTGGGGCATATCTTTACATTTAGAGTCAAGTTTTTTTAGTCATATTTTACAAATTCTCTTATATTATATTATATTACTTATTATTAGTTATAATAATAGTTGTAGATCCTAAAATCCACACTAAGTATTTTGTAGTGATTGAGAGTTTAATCTAGGGAGGATAAATGATGTGGGAAACAATGCTCTTAAACACAACGATACAATAGGAATGTGATTGAAAAAAATGGACTTTATTGAATATTGGATTCGATACAAAGCAATAAACAAGATCGAGAAATCTAAAGAGTGAGGTCGATTTGAATAGTGATTTGCTCTAGGATTTTTCCGTGTGTTTTGTGCTCTTTTTAACTCTCTTTTATAGCCTTCTCCTCTTCCAATTGCTTCCGCGATCTTCGGGATACCATTTCGATCTCATTGGGTCCGACAACGTCGAGTTCATGATGATCTTGCATGGGCTTGGGCCTACTTAATTATGTGCTGAAATTGGGTCCAACATTTGTCCCTCAATCTTTTTCTTTTATTGAAAGGTAAAGATGGCCCATTTGGTCTCAATTGAAGAGAGGCCATTCGGTTTTTGCGAAAGCAAGGATCTGACATGTGTCGCCTTCCCGTCTATGGACCGTTGGCGTGCGTTTCTCTTGTCCCTAATGGCTATTTTGCGCCGCATTCGAGGCCAAACCTAATCATTCGTCTTCTCGCTTTTAATGATAGAGCCATTTTTGAAGTCGGTGAATGTCTTTCAATACCCAAGGTTCTCGAGCTAGCCTCCAATCTTGAGACCCCCGAGACTGTTCGCGATGGATTTTGCGAAGCGTATCTCTCGTTCTTTGAGTCTTGCGGTCTTTTCTCCCCTATTCCGGAACCAATCCTAAAATTGTGGCGGAATTGGGCATATCTCTTACTCAGATGTGTCCAGATTCTTGAGGCATCTTTTGGCCCTCGTGGTTAGAGCTCGCGAAGAAGGTTTACGATTTGGTTTGAAGGAGCTGCGTAACTTATGATTGTTGAAGAGGAACAATCAAAGTCCAGGGACTTTCCTCATGTCGCCACGTTATCCAAGGGGTTTAATACCGTGATCAAGATTGGCAAGAAGGATTATTTGTCTTCAAGGTTGATCCCCTGTCAATGGGTGACTTTGACTTCACGAGAATTCCTCATCTTTTGTCCGACGA